TACGATCTGGTATGTGTATAATTCTATTATTTTATTGTAGTATTCGTAGTACCGCATTTTTTGATAAACTTCTATTCGAACGGTTTGACATTTGAGGTTTTGCACATAACTCAACGTGGCCTCGAGCTGATTGCTGGGTACAGTTTTTGGTTTTGTACCTTGGATGTGCTCCACACACTTCTTTAAGTTAAAAGGTGGCACCGGCTGTGCTCACCCTATCTACAACTTTCCCAACATAACTGCCGGATATTGGAGAACTTCCTGTGTTCGCACCAGTATTGCATCGACGATGAAGTTAAACAGGGAAGCAGGATAGTGCTTTTTGTTAAGAATCTTCTAGAGAACTCTCCATACACCCTCAAGTGCACACTCTCAAGGTGTGAATATAGGCGCCGGATGATGTTGACAAATTTCTGAGGCAAATGTGGTTGACAAAACTGATGACTACAAGAATCGAACGCATTCATGAAACCAAGCTATAAACAACATTGTGGATCGGATGTACATAAGGCGTTGCCCAAACACCTGACGGAGACTGCATATGTGGGCGATGCAACCTCTACCCAGTCGAAATCCCACTTGATGCTTGCCGGTCAAGGATTCGCCCGCCGCAGTTAAACTAGTAAACAGTGACCTCCACGGCTTGGGTTCTCGCCTCGGACAAGCTGGCAAACACTGTTTCCCAACTTCTACAGATCAGGGTGACAATTACCATGGAAATTTTATGTATGACAATCCGTCGCCGTCTCAGTAGACTACAAGTGGAACTACAAGGGGAATTCTTACGTAAGATCACTGTCCATCCGTCGAATGCTTAAGGGCATTTGTTTCTCACTGACTAACATACATTAATTTAAGACCTCACTTTGAATGAACACGAGGAAATATCCACAGTGTGTCGGACAACATAAAAAGAACTGGCCTTGCTAGCAAAACAACAGGACGATAGCTATGAGTGTTGGTGCTACGTTCTATTGGTCGAGATTTCCTTCTAAACCGAAAAGTTGGCAGTTTCTAACGCATTAATATCGCGCCAGCTTGACGAAAGGATGAAGTAATAGAACGCCATCTTAACAACGCATGTGAATTTGGAGTATATTCAAATTTGCCGTGTANAAATTTCTCGCACACAACTTTAATTCATTTTGATTCAGTGTGGATAAATGCTTACTATGCCAAATGTAGAATGGAATCAGAATGTTGAGGCAAGTGATCAGAATCCCCGTAGGTTTTCGCGGAGTTAACTGAAATTTGTCACTGAGCTAGCTGACAAATCTTTGGTAAGATTTGCTTCATCAGGTAGATCGTGGAACCGCGGTCGTGAAGTGGCTTTGTGACCATTAGAACAACCATCATATTGGACCGGATTTCTGCTTAGTCGAAACAATTAGGTTTGTGATATCCATTCAGTTACGGATCGGCACAAGTTGACAACACCGAATCGTTTTCAACGAATGTGTATAGTAATTAATCCTTCTATGACACAACTCTTGATTCTCATTCAGGGGTTAACTCCCATTTTTCCTGTGAGTTGAATAACTCCCGACTTGATGGTGTTACCTCAGAGTGATTGCTAAATTACACTTTTACCAAGACGGTTGATTTCCCTGGAACTTAGACATCAAACTAAGTTCCCTATGGCTTTCATTCTGGATAATTTAGTAAACACTCGCAATATAGGTGTTTTTGGGTAGTTTTTTACACCTTCGCGGTTTAACTGTCTTAAATAACACTTGGTTGCATCCGCGCAGAACGTTCGACGAGCTGGGCGCACTTAATCCAAAAAGTAACCTTCAATGCTCCTGCTAGACATTGGGTTGATTGCCGAACAACAATGCGGCGCATTCGTTTTGCTAAACTGGGTGATGAGCAAAAAAGTTGATTTTGATTATATTTCAAAAATTCAGTCACCCAACTATATCTAGTCATGGTGTTTGAGGTGATACCCGAACTAGAGACATATTCAATGCGCGCACATTTAGGACCACTGCTTCAGAACAATATACTCCACCTCGAAATACAGTGATGAAACTAGCCTATAAATCACTGGCCTGATTGGCATGCCTCAGCAACTTCCGCCAGTATCTAATCGCACACTCGTCAGAAAGAAAATGCGCTGACTATGGAAGTGAAGGTGAGAATGGACGCACTACGTATGATTTTTTCTCTAAATGCTTCACAGAAATTCTTCAAGTCATCTGGATCTAGAGAGCATAAATACGTACCACGTGGAATGGAAATTGGAATCTCAATATGGAAGCAACAGGTCACAATATTTGTAGAATTTCTCGGAGTTCACTGGAACTTGGAAGAGTATTCGCTAGCTAACAAATCCTTAGTAAATGCTGCCTCATATGGTAAATCCTGGAGGCGGCCGTAGGTGTTTCGTGACCACCATTAAAACCGTCACGTTGATCAACCTGGGACAGGATTCCTGTTGAAACAAAACGACTTGGTTTTGTAATTTCAGACTAGTTACAGATTGGGGACAGGTAAACAACACCGAATTGTTCTCAACGAATGCATGCAGCATTCTAGTGGTTATTTAGGCATGTATATAAAGGGCAACCGTTAATTCTTAGTCATCGGTAAACTTCCCTTCTTCCTGTGAGGTGAATAAGTCCGCACTTGTCTATGTCAACTCGGGGAGCTCGATAACTTATAAGAAATCATATCGAACCGGTTGAGTTCCCTGGGGCTTAGACATTTAATTACATTACAGAACACATTATCGAACACCGAATCACATTACAAAACATTCGGTAACCTGAACGCGCCTATCCTAAAAGTAACCGTAGAAGTTCCTGCTAGACTTTGATTTGATTGCTGAGCAATGATGTGGCCCACTTATTTCGCTAAGCTGGGTGATGAACGAAATAGTTTGTTTTACCAGAAAAGAAAGTGATGACTAAGGAACCATTCTGTATGGACCCAACATCTATGGTTTTTCTCACAAAAGTAAACAACTTCAGAGATTCCTGATTTTTAACTGGGGTGTTGGTAGATCTCTCAAAACGAAAATGAAAGCATCCACACGCAAATGCATTTGGAACTGTTCATCGGACTTTGCTACTGTAAGTGGTGGACGAGTGCAGCAATAGTTTGGAAGGAGCTATTGTTTATGTTATTTCTATTCACGGTCACCTCCAAACGCAGGTTGCTTTACCAAGGCTGTATTTTCAGACATAAGCTTGACAAATCAAAAGTTTGTGCCCTCCCATTTTTGACAGTTTCACTCGACTTCCCTTGTCTTGCTGAATGATGTGGCTGAAAGTACAGTGGCCAAAACTTCGGGAAAAACAATTTGCTTGACATGTCCACGTTTACCAAGCGAGTTTTGTGATGTTTCACGTTTGCTTTTAGGGTTTGAACAATTGTTACTTCAGAATACATCCTCGGTTTTATTGCAGCGCTTAGCTGTTATCTGATACGATGATGCTCATCGAAAGTGTTTGAAGCACTGGTCTGTGCTGCAAACACATGCATACAAGATGGAGGTCGATTCTGATAAGCCACATGATAAGATTTCTGAACTTCATCAATAATATGACTCGTAATGTGTGCGGGAAAACATCAAACTATTCACAATTTGATTAGTAGTGAGGCGAATGTTTACGATTAAATCTTTTACTTACTTTGGAGATGTATTGGTCGGAATATGTGAGTACGACATATGACAAATGTGCGTTGGCATTTCGGGGCATATGTGTATGCATCGTGATGACTAACTAATACTATATCCATGGGATGAGTTACTATCTTCCATGGTGAAAGTCTCTACGTCCTTACTCTGTTAAAAATTGTTGTTTATGTGCACACACCGAAGTGTTTCGAAACAGTCGCAGGCGTGAAGAACTTGGTTCTCCGTTGAATCTGCCAGTCATGTATGACTGATCTGCAGGAGTCCGACGTTTGTTTTTGATATTGATTCGCTAACCCAGTTTTGATAACGTTTGAATAGTGCATCCGCTTTTCCTAATATTAAATTCGGTGAGATTCGCAGATGATGATGAATGTATGAGCTTTTACCCGTTTGGGATTTCAACACCAAACATTATCCGACGAAGGGGCACATTGTAGCGGCCACTGTCGTATTTAACTATTCGGAATGAAATATCGCAAGAAACACTCATAATGGGTGTATATGTTGCCTTTATTCATTTCGCCTTGGATCCATTCCCCAGAATCTCGTTTATTTATGGAAGCGTATTCGCAATTCATGAGCAATCTGTCGTGCCTCACTATTCTGCATAGCAATAAAATAGTTTGAAACTTATTGCTTGCAGTTCTTTGACGGCTTTTCAACCAGCGCAAAGAAAGCAATCCCCATATGTAGTCACCATTATTGTCCTCAGGGACAACATGACATCAGTGTTCAACACCGATGCTTCGCTGCCGTTTTAGTTGATAGCCGTATTGTGAGGAACAAAATAAAGGTGGAATTGGAACGGACTTAGCGCTAGCTTACAACAACCTTTTAAAGTGCCTACACCCCAGACACTCGGCAATATGGTAGAAACTGACAACAAGATCGACACTGACATCGTTTGGCACCCATATCTTGCAGTGTCTCCAACCAGGAGCAGGGGATCACGCGGTCCCTATCCTGGAAGGCGACAGCACCCAAGCATTTTGTGATCTCCATACCCCTCTGCAAGATCAAGGTTTGGCCACCTATCTCCTTCCGCCACTGTGAATTGGGCATGAAAAATAGTGATCTCTTCGGGCCTACAAGGGGGAGGAGCATGCCAGTCAATCGAGTCAAATGTGCCTTGGAAATCAAGGAATACTAGAGTCGCGGGTCGCTTATACGTATGGTGTTGTTCTAGTACCTGATGAAGTGTAAACATTTGATCGACTGAACCCGTACCAAGGCGGCATTTCACTTGCTGCTCTCGAGTCAGTGTATCACGACCCACCGTAGGGTAACGAAGCACAAGTAACGCCAGCAGTCTCGATACGACCGGGGTTAAGCTGATCCCCCGTGTTCCCACAATTACTACGGGCCACGTTTTGAAAATGGGCTCTATCACCGACTCTCCCCAGTTGTATGGGGAGAAGCAACTCCGTATGAGTGCGTGGTTGGAATCCACAAATATGTTCCAAAACGACTGGCAGTCAGTTAGTAATCCCTGTCGTCGGTGACTGATGGCAATATGATCAATCTGAGTTTGTGGTAGGTATGCCGTTGGAGGACACTATGTGGCCAAACGGCTTCGTCAATTTCGGAATTCGGTACCGGACAAAAACAAATTGTGATCAGCACACAGCTGAAGCAATCGATTTCTACTGTCCGTACCTACCTAGTCCAATCCATGTTGACCTCCTCATTAAGTCTCAGATACGCTAAGGTTGCCCACTTATGCATTTGGATCTCCATTACGGTATCCATTACGATATCTGGGCTTTTAGCTCACCGTAACAGCGCATTCAGGGTGTCGTAAAACCCGTCTCCGAAAGCGTTGGAGCTTTGGTCAGTTATAGCATAAGCAGACACGCTAAACAGACATCGAGCAACTTCCCGCTTGTGAGACTCCTTCACAGACGTTGCCAGGCAAACCGCACAGAGGTGACTATCAAAAGGTATTCAGTCAAGCAAGGATAATTTCGCCCGGTGACTTAGGACGATGACAATTCCTGCACAACCCGCTGCTACGGCTTCTGGATCACCATAGTTGCATAGCAGGAAGCAAGTGGAGATTGATGGGGTGGTTAACTCAATCACTGTGATTGAATCTTTAATTCTTGTTTGTGAGACACAGCACACATCAGTGCCAAGTAATTCGAGTGTTAGTGCAAGAGCGGCTTGTTGTCTTGCTTGATTCAGAGTGCGGACTTTGAAGGCGGTCAGACAGACTGGATGTCGAGGCTTGAAGTTTGATTCACGGATACCTGAGGATGTCGATGGCGTGAGACGAGCAGATGTTGCACGTGAAACCGATGAAACACGAACGGAGTCATCAGTCCTTGGGGATGCACCGACAAGGAGAGAGTTATTAATTGGGGGAGAGGGGGAATAAAAAGTATGTGAAATAGAAAGAAGGGAGGTGTCAGCTGTCACCAGTTTTCACTTCCCCGACCTGCTGTATGTAGCAGGTAAGTCGACGCGTGTGATGGCACCACGCCCCGGCCGATGTGGCATGGGTTTATTTGTGTGTGCAACTCATTGTTGTGCGCGGGCTGGCATACTGTCAGGGAGTGCACACCTAGATAGGATTAGTGCCACTGAATGAGGAAATGCCAATCGTGCTCAGACGGCAAAAATGTTCATGCACTGTTTATGCACACTCAATTATTGGCATTCCTCAAAATATCCTGCTGGTGTTGCAACTGGTGATGCATCAGGTGTCGCCATGGCTGAAAATTATCTACTTAAAATAGAACCAATGGAACCAGCTTTTGAGCAGATTCAAGCACTTTCCTCAGGAGGGGGAGGAGTAACTTCAGGAACCAGTGAGATGTTATAGCGTCCTCAAGTATCCCTTAGACTCACAAAGAATGCATGTGTCATACATAGACTGCAAGAAGTGGATGGATAACTGCTGATCACAGAAACAAGTACCCATGCACCGAGCTATATTTTCGATGTTCCGGACGGAGTGTCGCTCAATGCAGTTAGCTAATAACATAATCGATCAGACTAACTGCTGGTCAATTTTGAAGCACACGATCAACCAACACCCAGATCATCTGGTTACATTGGGAAAAGACCACATCAATCTTATTCATCCGCATACACATCAATCTTGAAAGGTAAAATGCTATTTATTCATTTTTACTAATTATTCTACTGAACATGCCGTCGGATTCCGTAATCCTCATCATGAAAAAAAGTCTGGAAAATACTGGTACACATCGAAGGATAATAACTACCTGATTTCCGTTACAACGAGACATGTTGCGAGCTGGCAAACCGAACCACTACTCAATGCGTGCAGCTGGAACTGAGCACACTGTCACCATGCTGAAGACAGTTTGCAGGCCTCTGCACGTTTTGCTACCCATCTTACACACTAGGTTTTCTGCGGGGTATGCAAGCATCCGTGGAGCGACAATTCGAACCTCAGGTGAATAGTCCAGTGGCTGGCAGGTTAACCCGTATAGGCTATTTCATTCTGCTGTTATCGGACATTACAGGGGTGCTGAAGAAAAAATGGGGTGGGATTTGAAGTGATAAATCAGGTGAATTGAATGTCACCGAAGTGTGTAATCGTAGGATACTAACCCAACGGTTTTCCATTTCACAGAGACATAAGGCCAGTTGAGTTAGTTTGTGTGCTTTCACGATTTTTTATGCAAGTTAGGAAGAAAGTTAGAAAGAACCCTAAGCACGAGCACTTTACGGCTGTTGTCACATATACTCGGTAGCTGCTTACTCGAAATGGGAGATCCCAAGGGGGATCGTCACACTCAACACACCTAGGAGGTGTGGGCCATTTTGTACTTGGGTGAAAAGATGGCCGGCGTCTACTGACGTTGAAATGGACCATGGAGCTTAAGGTCAATACCACTGCGTCCAATGGTGGAAGAGCGTTCGTCGCAACTTGCACACACTGAAGAAGTGGTCACTGACATCCAGCTTTCAATTTAACATGCTATTATTTTTCACTCTCGGTTCACCAACTAATGAATCCAGGCGATTATGGAATTTGTTGAATCCAAGTTTGTGTGTTCATATGTGGTAGTCTAGCTGCGCTTAGTTTACGCTAAGCGCAGGCTCGCAGTGGAATGAAGTGTTTACATACCAGAATGATACTTGTTCACCAAAACTGTTATAATGTCTTCATTCCCTTTTAATAAAGACACAAGAATAGGTTTGGGGACGATACTACACCACACCATTACTTGTAACTAAATTTTCGTACCATTACTTGTAATTGAAATTTTCGTGAAAAGCCTTAACAATCAGGTTGCACTTCCGAGCATTAGAATTCGATCGACAACATATTAGCCACATGGTCTAATTGTATCAGAACGGGGAAAAACGCGCAGTTCTTCCAACAAAAATTATAAGCATGGAGCTTCAAATGTATTTTGAAGGTTCTTCCTTGTAGACGTTTGGGAAGGCTTGCCAAATCCTTCTAATCAGACCGCTTGGGTTGTCGGATTAGAAGTACGGATTTTCAAATGTCCCTTGTTTGAAAGCCCCTAGAAAGCGCCTGAATGATAGACATATATGCACCAAGACTTGCCTCCCATAATAAATTCTTCATGCCGTTTCTCTAAGAATACGTAGCCCAATCAACGATTAGCTTATCATCATTTCAAGATCGCTCGCTAAGAATTGCACCAAACGTTCCAAAGAAGCTATACATTGCCTCCATATTTGGTTAAAATTTTCTCTAGGCAATCAACAGCCTGCGTACGCCGATGGTACACCTGTGGATCCGAGCTACCAGTTTTTCTGCCCGGTGCTCTCTATATTTGTCATCCTACAATGAGAAGGAACATCCTCATTGTCGATATGAGTCGGCTGACATCCTATCTGAAGTTGGGCTTGTTTTCTACTATTCACTTCACTTATATGTGAGGTATTCCCTTACACAGCAGAGTTTGTAGTTCGTTTAATAATTCATGCTTTGAAGTTCCAAAATGGTCCACAATTGTGTACCATTAAATTTCTTAACTCTTCTTGTGTCAAAAGGAAGACGTCGTTTCAAAATATTCATAACAACAAGTTACTCACTGGCAATGAAATGTCGTACTTGTTGGGAGAACGCTGTAATAAATCTAGAGGGACATGA